TAAAACTCTGTTCATATTATTTCCCTAATTAGCATAATAATTCATAATTTTTGGTTCTAATCGCATTTCAATTAAACTTGGTACATAGAGTTTTTGTTACATTGCGCAGACTCATTAGTTTTACAATCAAATCTGTTCATGTTAATTTTCTGATTTGCATATTAATTAGTTTTCAGCTAAGTAATTTCAAATTATATTTAATGTGTCTTCCAATACTCTCAGCACATGGGAGTTCTTTCTAAGCTTTCTTTGATTAAATCCATGGAACATGCAAAATAGTGATAGAACTCACTGCCAAGTTCAGGAACCCAGAAAATTTGCTCAAAACATCAAAATAGTGAAATTAAATGCCAGTGTAAATAAATGGTTTATCATTAACTATTTTTCAAAAACCTATATAATATCGCATAATATGACTGAAGTGGAATTGTTGCTAGCTCTGAACTATATAGTCTAGTGCCTTTGGGCTTTTCCTGCCTTGCAGTGTTTTGAGGTGATGATCAACATCTCTGCATGGAGCTAAATACCGGTAATCATATTACCATGAAATACCAATAAATGTTTTTAGTCTGGGGACTATTTATTTGGGCTTCTTGTATACAGTGATATAGCATGCATTCTATTAAACTTGGTACAAAGGTACAGCATAGTATTATCGAGCTGATTATTATTTATGAGCTGGTCAAAAATCATCGACTTGTGGCCTACCGATACTTACGTATTCCTTTTGTTATAATATTTCTAGAGTTTTCTTTTATCTACCCAGTACTTCAATTCTGTAGATCAGGTAGCATTTCAAAGAGCATTAAAGGCTATATTTATGTACATCAGCCGATGAGTCATTTTGGGTAAAAATTGATATTTTGGACTTCTCTTCTAAAACCACTAATGAAAATGCTTTTCTCTCAGATTTGTTCATTTTGTGTCAATATTACAAATTTTGTATTTTTGGTGAATGTTTTGATTGATATTTAGTTAAAAATTGACTTCTTTAAAACTACAAGCCCAATTATTTTGATACTTGATAAGCAAGGACCTTGGATCTGTCAGATTTGGTTATTTTGTTTTTAATTTGCTATTTTTACTGAATATTTTCAGCATTTTGGTAAAGAAAAAATTACATTTTAAACTTCTCCATAAAAACCTCCAGCCCATTTGCTTTGATATCAGGCTTTGATATTTGATGTGTGCCTGTTTCTGATTGGGGGGTGGGGGGGCATATGTGACACATTTGACCTTATTGTTCGATGAAGTTTGGTTGGCATGTCACTTTGAGCCAGAATCAGAATTTGTATTGTGGGTGTGTATTAGTTGGCTACCACATGTTCTGACAAGTCAGAACTGTTTCGACCATCAGGTAACAGGTTTTGATGACCTTTTACCAATTAGCAATTAGTGCCTATTTGCTTTACTTAATTGACTACATTATGTATATTTCTTTTGTCGATGTTTGTTTCTCTATTAAATACTTAAATGTACTACACCCACAACAATTTTCTGTGTGGACGGGACCAGTTTAAATTAAATTTTAGGGTGCTGACATTCATGCATTGAGTTACAGATGCACTATATCTATGTAATATGGTAAGATCCAATTCTGTATTTATGCATAGACCCTCCAGTAGAGTCTGTGATTTATGTCAAAATTAGACTGTTTTAAACATATTTGATACATTTTTCAAAAATGATACATATGGCGATTGTGGACTTGTTAATGCACCCCAATGATTATACATAATATAACGTGATCCACTAACAGATGTCGCAGTGAACATTTGTTCTATTTTCTTTAATGTTTGTGGCATTTGATTGTACCAGTACTTGTATTCTAGTGTCTATTGAGTAGATCACTGGCTATAAGGCAATCATTGCTGCTTGCAGCTATATTGTTAATTAGCAAGTCACCCTCTAGATTCAGTCTGTCTTACAGCATAAGAAACTGAGTGGCATATCTGGTTATACTGTCTCTCACCTTACAAATTTGATTGGACTGTTTGAACGTGTGACATTGTACATCGCACAATTGACTTTACCATTGTTAAGATGCCACCACAGTTAGTGGCGTATTTCTTAGAAAATTACTACGTGGCTAATTTTGATATTCACTGGCTCCGTATTCTGAATGTACCTAATAATTGCTGACCAAGTTCGTCTGATTACATAAGGCACAATCAGTGATTTGATTCAACAAACCGACTCTTCGTGCCCGCATATACTCCTCTCAATCGATGGAACAATTTTCAATTCCCTAGGGGAGGTAATCACTGACAATAGCCCCCAATTGGTAGAGAACAATATGACGCATGTGCATATGTACTGAGTGTGTACCAATTGTTGAAAGGTTGAATAAATTTATCTCTGCAGTGGGTCATATAAATGGTTTCTCTAATTTCTCAGATGTTTAAAGACAAATCTACAATACTCTCTCCAGACTTTAATGTGATTTATTTATTTCATGAATTATTCTTACTTTTAGAATCAGGCTTTGCTGCGTAATGGATTTAATCACTCAAAATGTCTCAATTTGAATTGTCATCATTTTATATAATACATGTAAAAGCAAAACTGATTAATTAAATGAAATATTGCTTAATTATCTCATTATGAATCTGTCTGAAGTAAAAGTAGAACCAAAAGAATTCTGGACTGTAACAGAGTCTTGAAGTCTGTCAGTTAACATTAATTAAGTTTTACTTTGTTTAGCATAAGGCATGTTGGAGATGCTATCATAGATAGGCAATTAGAGTGGATGTTCTGCAGTCATTTGTATTATACTTGCAACGATATTGCTACTTAAGGTAACTGTCTGTCATGTATGATACAGCATTGTGGGCTAGTGATTGATGTGCTTGAGGGTGGAGGGGCACATCGATTCTACAAATCTGTTGCAATGCATGCTGGGATTTTTAAAAGAAGTTAATTGTTTAAAACCAGACATTTTCTCTATGTCCAGATCTGTTACGTTCGTTTTATTAAAATTGACGTTCACTACTGGATTGTAAAAGTATGATTTTTGTTGTTAGCCGATTTCTGAATTGAATTTTATTTCTCTGTAGGTTATTGTTAATGCCGAGGGGGAAAATTCACCGCACGAATTGCGTAAGCCATATCAGAATATAACATTGACAAATAACTCACCAATTAAACAAGATATGGTAATGGACAACAGTAACCAGTACATATTTGTCATGTCAGACCAACAGGTACGATAAATAAAAAAAAAATAATTCATGTCTTTGTGTCAGCAACTCCTGAATCAATTGCGTCGCATAATTGTCAGCGAAAGACTGACTTGAGTCATTGTTCTTAATTCTATATTCTGACATGTTCATTTACACACTAAGGGTGTATGGCTCAAATCTCTTGGGATTTTTTTCTAACAGCCACATCGCTGCGGCATTTGTAGTGGGACCTGCTCGATGTGAGCTCATAAAAGTATTTAACGTTCAATACATGTAGTATGATATTTATGAGTGGTTGGGACGATTTTAAAATCTATTATCATTCAGTCTAAGTGATTTCCTTCTCTCCTTCAAGAATGAAGTAAATATAAAAAAAAACATATTTCGCCAATTTCATGCATGAACAGAGACAGATTTTGATCAAACATGGTACATGATTGGACTCAAAATGGCCGACTGGTGGCCATTTTTTTTAGTGCAGTTTTGGAGCCATAGCTCTGACATTCTCTTATTGTTCATTTTCAAACTTTATATATTTCTTAAACTTAAGAAGTCACAGGGACTGTGTAATGCAATTTATTCTCACTTTATATTTACTTTTGTAGGTTTTCAAAGTGCCGGTTCATACATGCAGTTTGTACACTGACTGTTCAGTGTGTGTTACAACTCCCGATCCGGTGGAGTGTGGTTGGTGTGAAGGAAAGTCAGAATGTTCAACCAGACAAGACTGTGTTGGTAACGGTGTTCTATGGGGCAGATCAACATGTCCGCCAACTATTCATACGGTAAGACTTGTACTCGACGGTGTGGTATATAAATAAGCCAGAATTTGATCCATTTTTGTAGATAGTATATTATGTTGATTTCATACATGTATTCAAGAGATTGTCTACAATATTGAATTCAGCTGAGAAGATTTGTGTAGATTTTTGTTTAAAACTTGTTTCATCAGCTTTAGTATTGGGAATTTATTATCGTTCTGATGTTGTACCATTCTGATGTTGATGGCAGTACAGCCATGCTTGAATTTTTAAGTAAACTGTAGAACTTATGTAAGATTAATGAGCATATACCATTCACTGTGAGATCCCACTTCATGCGTGAAATCGAGCGTAACGGCAAACAACGATCATAGCATTGGAACAGCATACTACCCAGTAGTAGTGGTATTTCAAAAAAATATTTTGGAGATATTTCAACACATAATAATTTCTTTTGATGATGATCAATTTTGATGAAGTAATAATAATAATAATAAACTTTATTGATATTGTTTCCTTTATAGGATCTTGAGTTAAATTACAATAAAGTGTGGATGAAAGAAAAAACAAGAAAGATAATAAAATAAAATAACATAAAAATGATGATAACAGAAAAAAAAAAAAAAAAAAAAAACTTGCAATATGCCTTGATAAAAAATATTGTTGTTTATTTGGATGAAATGAAGGCTTTTTCATGTTATTTTCTCTAATTTTGAAACATTCGTATATGTATTTAGCTAGTTTTATAATTGTTTTATTTTCATTGTTGTTCATCATAGCTATCATTTTTTCTTCATCTGTCATGTTTGGGAGTGACATTTTTGACTTAGTGTTTAGTTGGTTTCTTTCATTTTCATATAGTTTGCAGTTAAGCAGAAAAAGTAAGTGTATCTCAGCGCAATGTTTAAAATAAAATCATTTTTTGCAGCAGTCGTTCAGTTTGCACCTTTCACACAATACGCAGTGAATTGTAATAAAGATTATCATTCATACATATGCTGATTAGTCACTATTGATATGCAAATTAGCTGCACTGCTGGTAACACTGATGCATACTGGGAAATTTACATATCCACGATTCCTAATTATATGCTTACAATGGCTATAATTAACATTTGTTCTTTCCAAGAATTCAGCAGATACTGCCATGCTTAAAAGGATCAATGTACATGACCATTATTCATTTTGTCATACTGCAAACCACTTCAATTTCATGAGAAACACATTTTAACGAATCAGTGGAAATCACAGAATTTTAAATCAGCGGAAATTACTTTCACAAAATTTTATCATCAAATTGTGAAAATTTCTATCAGCAAAAATTATTCAGTTATCAATCTTGCATCATTTAGGGTCAGAATCACTTTAATATTAAAATTTCTTGAATGAAATAAAAATTTGTAAAATCTAAATTTGACACTTAGTAGCAGAAAAAAATGACAAGTGAAAATACATTATTGTGCAACATTCAGTTTGAGATGTGTTTCTAAATGAAAACATAATTGGTATCGAGCAGGGTCTGCAGTGAATTAAAATTAAATTCCTTGTGTTTAATGAAATCATATCAACACAGTCATCCGTGATGTCATGTCGTGAAACGTTGCAACATACATTGTATATGTATAATACAATTTGGTACTATAAGTATCACTGTTTTGGTGTTATGATCTTAAATATTATGCCAGCAGGCTTTCAGCCAACCCTCTGTCTACTTGTCATTTTATTAGCCTCTCAGAATTTTACACAGTCACAACTTTTATTATTATTAATTTCTACAAACCTGTCAACTTATGATTGTAAATTCTCAGTTTTACTAGGAAGATAGCCATAAATAATCAAAAACCAGCCAATTACTATTTCCATTTCAATATAGATTTTAGACATGCACTTTTCTGTTTCTTGCTTTAATATAACCCCACATGCAGTATAAAGAAAGCATGTGTAGGTTACATGAATTTAAAGTATTCAAAGAAAAGTAGCAAAAACATTAGAAGCTTTGTTGTGTTAACCATTTGTTTTTAATATTTCCTGCTAAATTTTTGGTTCAACATATTATACCAATTTTTATGAATTTTTCTACATTTTTTATGATATTTTTTGATAAAATGAAAATAATTTCCCTTTGGTTACATAGAAAATATGCTAAAATTTTGAATTTTACGTGATAGGTGACATTTTAGACATGGCTTTATTACTACATGTATCATTGACAGACAGGCATAGGTAATATTAAAGATGAAATTAAATGTTTAGTGATGTAATTTATTTATTAAAGATGATCTAGCTTCAAAAATGATATGGCAATGACTCTCCCTGGATACACTCTACAATTGTTTCAGAGTAATTGTGATAATTAAAAACAAACAAACAAAACAAGAAATGCAAACATTCCCCATAAACTTCATAATGTGATTTTACTAAATCATCTCAAGATATTTAGTAAATTTTGAAGAACAAATAAATCTCAATTTACTACTGATAGAGTTGGGAGAGCATCGGTTTTTCTACCTGCATGAATAGGTATGTTTTCTGCTTCATTATGCAATCTTCACTCAAGCAACATGTTGATTACAAAATTAGAATTTAATATCCTACCATAGTGGTAAAAAATCCAACGATAAATATGTTGAAAAAAAAATTATATTATCTATTTAGTGACAGAAAATAGTTTTCATGTAATGGAATGATATCATCAGAACTCCCGGTAATGTGATAAATTACTTTCTATCTTTATATCCCTTTATAAATAATTATACAGGTCTCCACTTGCTGCTCAGTATCGCCACACTGATGCATCAGTGATCTGACTTACTATATGCACTGATGTATTCATGCAACGAAGGCAGTCACATTTTGCTCACATCAAACGCAGAATGAGTGTAAAACAATTTTTAGAAGAAGAGTTTTTATCTTTATGAAGTAAATAATCGGTTATACACATGTATCCGTAGATATGGTTTGCCTCTATGTTTCTGGAGATGATGACAGTTTAGATGAACTATCTCTTTGTATTTTGTGCTAGAAATGTTGCCTTATCGCATAATTAGACATCATCTTCTCGTACAATTATCAAACAACAGACGATAGGCAAGTTGTTTGTGATTGGTTTGCAGGGATGGGTATTTTTGTTGCTCAACCAGTGAATGCCTTTCTTAAAGATTCTTTCATGAATAGTATTAATTGGAAGACATTTCAAATATGTCATGTTTTATTTTTCTGTAGGTTGCCACTCGAGAAGGTCCAATTGAAGGTGGTACATTGGTCACTATCAGCGGCGATAACTTAGGAGTTGGCATTGGTCAGAATACGCATCAAGTGACGGTAGCAGGTCAGTTTTGTGAACCTCTACCAGAGCAAAGCAGTGTACATGAGTAAGTGTGGAT